CTTCAAATAACCTATGTGATCATAAAACCACATTATTTGTTGGTATATATGCTTAAAGCCACATTATCTATTTGGTAGGAGAAAAACAAAGTAAGAACTAAAACAATAAATTTTTAAAATCTAGAAACAATTAGACATTTTATTCCTTTTGTTTTATCATTTAAAAAAAAAGACACGATCAAAGTTGAAGAGTTAAAACGGAACAAACTTGAAAATTAGAAATAAAAAAAAAAGACATTTCTCAATAATCAAAATAAAAAATTTTTTACAAGTTCACGAAACAAAATAAGATCTAATTTTTTAAATTTCAAATATCAAGGTCCCACATTTATAAAATATTGATTCAAATATTTAAAAATTATACAAATAAAAATTTTTGTGAACTTTTAAAATAGAAAGTATTTTAAAAAGAATTGAGACTAAAATAAAAATGAAATTATAAATAATATGGCGCCCCTGGTTATGAGATTCGTGGATCGGAGTGACGGGACTGTGCCACGTAAGATTGAAAAGTGGGCCCTCGACTGTTTTTTTTGGCGTTTATTAAAAGTCGAGATGACGTGGAATCGACGGACTGGTGGAGGAATCCAAGTTGTGAGGCGACACGTCGGAAAATAATTGATATTTGTCGTTTATGAATTATGTTAGATTGAAAATGAAGATGCTGTTTGAAATTATTTACTTCCATTCTAAGTCAATGAATTTTGTTTTGTTTTTTATTTTATTTTATTCATAGTTTTTAATTGGAATAAATTTGGCCATATATTTATTTTATTATTGTTAATTATTGATGAATATATATATATATATATATATATATAGTTGTGGTGTGTTAGTAAACTGGTTCTGACACCACATCTATTTAAAAAAATAAATGAAAAATATTTAAATTTATAGTTTATTTATATAAAAAGTTAAAAAATCAATGATGTGTTTTATTATAGCATTGGAGTTTGGAGTGTGGAATATAGCTTCTAATATATACAAGTCTTTCTTTAGTTTGAAATTCTTTTGGTATTGACTTTTTTAAGAAAAATTTTTTTGGTAAACCATTTGTATTATGCCACATGACCCACTTGAGTTATTGTTTTATTAATTGTAGTATGAAGAAATTTTTTGGAATTTTTTGGAAATTTTTTTCTATATTTTATTACAACTCTGTGTTTCTTTGATGCATTGTTAAGAATCCATCGACCAAAATGTTAAAACGCCTTAAATATAAGACGTCAATTATCTTGATCATGTCATAATATCTTGATTTGTCTCAAACCTCAACATCCACATTCTCGCACCATATATAATGCTTACTCCTAATCAATCAGCACCACAATATTATGGTGTACGCTACCTGACGACCTTCACGTAGTTGGACTTATATTTTCCTTACGTTTCTTTTTAAATTTTTTCTTTGAGTGTTTTCATACCTGATCCATTATCCTTTGTACTTTATCCTAACTCTATACAATCCTCTAAATGGGCTCACAACAGAGTTTTCGTGTTCGAACCACACCTATCTATTATTTAGGCATCTTACAAATAAAAAATACAACGGAGCTACGAGAAGTTTAAAACCTCACCGCAATCATGTCAAAGGAAAACTTCTCCAACACAACTTAAAATATATGGTGAAGCTCTAAAGAGAGAGACCATAATTTCATATGCAACATAGACAAGTTTGTCCTTTGTAGATTTTCTTTGTAGGTAGCCTTGTTGGGTAGCTAATTGGCCTTTGTTTGCATGATAGAGGTCTAATTTGTTGTTATCTATCTAGCCATAAAACTAGAAAGTAGACATGAACTATGCAATTGGACAATGGGGGTCAATTAGTAGCTAGGCCAAAGGCTTTTTTAACTCTTTCTTATTTGATGATTGATTAGATAGAACATCAAGATTTTTTTTTCAAAGAATTAATAGTGGCGATTTCTTGAAATGAAGAGATGTGGTCCGAAATGATTGACGGAAGGTTTTCTCTTTCGTTTTTCTTTTTGGGTATAAAAAACTATGCTCGTATGTAGAGTTATTGTCATCTACATTTGTAAGAAGTGATTTTAAGAGAAAATATTCTTTATCCAAAGTTCTGGGGACTCATGATAAATGTTTGTATGGTAGTTCGAATATGAAATAAAAGATAACAAGGATTAAAAAAGTCATAAAAGTTTAATTATACGTCTCGTTCACGTAATTTTTATTTATAAATATCAATTTCGATAACGTATCTTTAAAAGTTTTGGTTTTGTTTATGTCATTTTTTTTAATTATTATTTTCAGAGTTTAGGATTTAGAATTTGTTGACTAAGTTTATGCTAATGTTAGTGTTTTTGTTATATTTATAACAATATTCATTAATATGGAGGAATATTAGAATTAYGTAAAGAAAATTAAAGGTTTTAAAAACATAGGAATGAAATTGACATGGAAGGACAGACTACACGATATAAGATATTATTTAATAAAGTAAAAAGATGCCTTAATAAACGTGGGTGTGCATATTAAGGATTATAATTTTAATATAAAAATTGTAGGGTTCGACCAACTTGAGTAGATATCTTCGACCAAAAAAATTGCAAGTTCGAATCTTGATCATCCCTACATGTTGTATGATAAAAGAATAGGGCTACATGATTTTTATAAGGGCATAGTTGTCAATCCACATGCCCAAATTAATATAGTAGGCTAAAACTTTAAAATTAATCTTTATACTAAAAAAACCTTCAAATTTTATTGCCATTCCTTATTTCACTATGTAATAAATAGCCAATATGCAACGGAGCTTCTTAGAATTTTTATCACATGAAAACAAAGTAAACAATAATTAAATAAAAGATAAATTTCCAAACAATACAAATAAAGGTTAAAATCAAGTAATATGCTCTTGCCTTAGCTTTGTTTTTATTTAAACATTTAATCCTTATAGTTTAAAAAATAATATAAAGATTATTTTCTATAAGTTCACATGTCAACATCTCGTAGCCTTCATGTCACATCCTAGCTATCTTGTTCCCTTCTTCGATTGAAATTCAAAGAGTCGTTTATAGATAAAAAATACATGGCAATCGCACCTACGTCATATAAAACATACGTAGATACAATATCAAAAGTTTTGCTCAATTGAAAATTGAATATAGAAAGTAAATTAGAATATTAACAAAAAAAAAAACATTACCGAAGGTCTTATACAAAATATTCTGATATAATAAAATATAACGACTATTTATCAAGGAAATTTATAGTATGAGTAGGTAGTATGAGAATATTAGAAATTAAGCGAGTGATGAAAATAATTAGAACTAAGTTTTTTTTTTTAATTACAATCGAGTTTTATACTTTGATTTATCAAAATTGCATTTTTTTTATGTTCAAATAAGCCATCAACTATTTTTCGATTTGATTTAAAAGTCGAAAATTGAAACGATAGCCAAAATATGATGGCTTACTTTTCTTTGGTACGATGTTGGTGTTTATTTGTCTTGATTACCACACTTATTTTGTGACAATATTAGTGCGCTCCACATGTTGATTTTATCCCATGTTTTATGCAAGATCGAATTGCGTAGAGTATTTTAAAATGATTTATATAAATTACACAATAATGTTTTAAAACTTTGTAATGGTGTATTTTCTAAGAATTTCTATCAAATTTTAGATATTTATTTGCTAAGTTTTATAGGTTGATATGAAAAGTTGAAGGGTAAATTTGGATTTTAAATAAAGAGGGAATTTGGGCAAAAGAAAATGAAAAATAAGACAATATAAAAAGAAAGTGAGATTTAAAAAAATGGCATATATCATATATTTATATAATTAATCACATCATTTTAATAAAACGATTATGTTTTATTCGTTTTCCGTTTCTTAAATTTCTATTATTTTCAAAATATAAAATCACAAATTTAGAGTCGATCATTTAAACTTTCTTACTTATAAAAAAAATTGATAAGTGATAATACCTTCGTTGAGGTATGCTCGAATTGATGCTAAATTTTTGTCACCATATCAAATGAATTTTGACAAAGATATAGAGATAATAATCTAACATTTATTTATTTACAATAAACAAATTAGACTAACCTTACCTAATAATTATGATTACGACTAAAAGAGTCTAAAAGTAATTATGATGAAATTATTATTATTACTTTTACATACTAAAGTTTGACTTATTACCATATAAAAAATCGATGTTTCAATTCTTGGCCTTGTTGTTGTTGAAGTAACAAAAATTGACCACTTAAGCTATTTGTAGTTCCGCTAGATATCAAATTCAAATCAAATTAAAGTAGGGAGAACCAAAACATAATTTAACTTTACTTATTTAATTTTCACAACTTATGACCTAGAGTGGTAAATAATGTATTGAGTCTATTGACCCAATTCAATTATGTCCACGTGGGTCGTGTTGACAGAAACATAATTTACCTTTATTATTACTTAAATTGTTTAGGTTAAATTATTCAAACGCCTTTAAATTTGGATGTTTAGTGTTAGTTCATTATCGTTTAAAACAATTCACTTCTAAAACAAGTGAACAATGAATGGTAAATGTTACAAATATCGGTATCACTAGACAATTACTTTTTTAAGTCATATTTACCATTAATTTTTTGAATCACTCTCAAACAACAATTGTCTTACGGCCGTTATTGGTTATTAATATACCATTTATTTTTTTTAAGTAATATTTTTTACTGTTCCGAGACTTCTGAAATGGTCACCTTACTTGGTATTACTTCTGTCTCTCTGGTTAAATGGGATCGCACTCGAATATTTAGCAATAAAAAAAAAAAAAAGAGAAATATTACTTTTCATTAACCTATTTTGACACCAAGAAATGCAGTGAAGTTTTTTCTATAAATAGGAAAAAATTTTCAGAAATTAAGAGTTGAGTCGTTCATTACTAAAA